GAAGGAAGGAAGGAAGGAAGGAAGGAAGGAAGGAAGGACTGCAAAATTTTCATATAATTCCTGGGGATTTTCATCAGTGAATTCATATGAAAATGTGTAATTACAGAAAAGAATGGAAATACAGCTATACATTTTTGTCCAGTTGCATTATAATCTATTAAATTTATTATAAAGGATTAACATCATTATGCCAATTAATCATTAATGCAGACAGGCTTTATACTGTTGGATGTTGCTATGAATTTCTAGTGCAGAAATTGTCTTCTTTTTTAAAAAAAGGAGGGGGAAATAGCAGCTCAGTAAAATAGCGCACGTTTTTACTTGTTTCCTATTTGTATTTGAGACGCATCCCATAATGGGAAAAAGCATGAGTCCTTCCACAATTTTAAATCTCTCCTACTGGCATCGTAAGACTTAACAATTGCTTCCTTTCTCACTCCCCCACCTTCCATTTTGTTCTTAGGTTATGCGTCTAAAATTGGAAGGAGGTGTTGGATTCTACCCAAAAAATTCCTTGTCAGAACCACCAAAGGAAGTTAAACAGTTCCTTGCCTGTCAGGAGTATACGGCCCATTTCACTTACAATGGGAGAATTGGATCCATCCTCATGAGTAAAAATGCACCTTTGCATTGCAAGAATATTATGAGAGGCATGCTGACCATGTTGAATATGTCACCAAGGAACCAAAAGGAATATGAGCTACAGGAGGTTAGGCTTTTTCTTCATCTGGACTCATCTTTTCAGGCTCTACTTTATTTTACTGTAGTAGCATACCTCCTTTCTTCACAATTTACACTAGAGCTAAAAATAAACTTGGAGCCCTCCAGATGTTGCAGAACTATAGCTCCCATCAGCCATGGCTGTATTGGCCAAAGCTGGCAGCATTTGGAATCCATCAACATGTGGAGAATCAAATATCCCCTGCCTCCATGAACAATATGATTTCAAAGGATATTAAACTGCTCTTTTAATTTTCTACTTCACTTACCTTTTCTCCTGAACAAGGTAACTGTGGCTTCTCAGTAGCAGAGTTTGAACCAATCTGTTTAGGTATGAATTGCTATCCTCCCTAAAATGTGTGGATATCCATGTCCAGGGGCTTCTTTGGATGTTACTGAACAACTGTTAAATCTATTTCCTGCTAGCTTTTGAAAAATATCAGTGAATGTACACAATGTAAAAGAACAGATATAGAAAAAAATGATGCCCCTGAGCGGTAGACATTTCTTAATGCACCTAATTCTATTTAAACCTGCTACAAATCTCTTCTCTTGACTCTCATTGGGGATTTGTGTTCCTGTGTTCTTGTACAAACTGACTTTCTCAACATTGGCAGGATGGAATTGAAGGCGAGTGCAGCACCAGGTATGCCATCTATGAGGAGAAAAGGAGCAACAGCATTATTTGCAAGAAAGTCAGGGACTTGAACAACTGCAAACAAAGAATTATGCTGAACGCTGGAATGTCCTTCCTCCACGTCCGCCCCAAATGCTTCCAAGTAAGGGTGCTGTAAATATATTTTATCACAAGTGGGTGTAGATCTCTTAGCTTTAATGGAGGGTTTTCCCCCTGCAAACTCCAAATATGAGATCCTGATCTGAACTGGGACATCAGGGGGATTTGAGTCCTCCACTTTTCAGGCTACAGTTCTGATTTGGACCAGGACTCCAGTACTTACATATGAAAAAAAGAAAAGAAAAAAGAGCTGCTAGCCACAGCTTTGAAACCGCAAACTATTTGGCTCTAAAATTAAATTGTATTTCTCCTTGTGAAATATGTCTCTTTTTGTTATTTAGAGGGAGAGATTGGTTCAAGGCATGTCTACCTCTGTCATCAAAGTGAAACGTGACAGTGCTGGTGACCAGATCACTCAAGTCATGTCTGAACAATTATACCAGTTTCCTCTGATAAATGGAGATGAGGGTGCTGGATACATGAAAGCTCAGTAAGTAGCAACATCAAAAAACATTTTGCACTATGTTTGGTCTTCTTTGCCTTTTAGTCTGCCTTCCACATGCATTGAAAGGCATTTCTAAGCCATGGCAACGTTAGAACATAACTTCAGTAGATCTGTGTTTCTGTGGTCTGCACTGAGTACCCAGTAATCTACCAGCAGATCCAGGGCTGCTTTGGAAACGGAAACCAATCCAGTAAAATATACCTTTACTGACACCCCTTTTTATTTTCAGAACAAAACGACAGGAACTTTATTTAATGGGCTTAGTTCTGAGGAGGGGCAACATTCAGACTCTCAAGCACACCAACATATTTGTTTAATTGACTGGCAAAAATATCTTAAGTGTGATAATACTTACCCTGGAAATTAAAAAAATATATATGAGATTATGAGATATGAAATTAAAAGAAATATGAGAGCCAGTTTGATCTAGTGGTTAAGGCACTAGGCTAGAACCCAGGAGACTGAGTTCTAATCCTGCCTTAGGCATGAAAGCTGGCTGAGTGACTTTGGGCCAGTCATTCTTTCTCAGCCCAACCCACCTCACAGGGTTGTTGTTGTCAGGAAAATAGGAGGAAGAAGGAATATTAAATATGTTCACCATCTTGAGTTATTTATAAAAATAATAAAGGTGGGATAAAAAATTTTTAAAAATCTAAATCTAATTGAAAAATTGATCTGATTTGTAGAAATAATCTCACATACAGCCATAATTCCCTGTGGAATTATGCACTAAACTTACATCTAGGGACAAATGATACAATGTTGGGAATTTAAATTAACAACCTCTAGAAAATTGCAAACAGAAATAGCTCAACTATATTACCTGTATCCAATGAGAGGACAAGTCCAAGTCTTTGAACAGCACTGCATTTCTCTTGGCTTTGGTGGTCTCATCTCTTATCTTCAGTTGCCTTCTTCTGACTTTCTGGAGCCAATCCTGAAGTGGTTCAAATGAGTGACTCCTCAATGATTATGATTTAGTTATATACGTGTGTGTTTTTCCTTTTCTTCCAGGCAGTTCATGACCTTGATAGATGTGAAAACTGACCAAGGCCAAGCACAGCAGCAGCAGCAACAGCAACAGCAACAGCAACAGCAACAGCAGCAGCAACAGCAGCAGCAGCAGCAGCAGCAGCAGCAGCAACAAGGAGAGCTTGAAACGATAAGCATTCATTTTGACATTCCCAAATACCTGCCTTTGCCAGTGTTGGACGTTCCCAACAGAGATCTTGTACAACAGGTAGTGTTTGAAATAGTGAATGATTTAACCTTTGCAAAACCAATCGGACAGCAGCATGATCTTGGTGGTTGTAGTGATTACATCCTAGTTCTTGATTTTTCATTGGACAGGCTGATGAACTCTTGCAAGAATCGGTGCGCTGGCAACAGTTGCGCTATGAAGAGGTTGCCTTCAAATTTCTAATATTGAAGAGGAGCATACAACGCTTGTCATATAACGATCTGAACACTCTCTACAATAAGTTTTCCAAAATTCCTCCTGCTAGGTATGTTGGCTGAGTATACTGCACATTAACTTTTACTTTAATCTCCTGAAATCCCAAATGTTCTTCTTCCAAAGATTCATGATAAATCAGCCAGAAAGGATTTCTTCATTAGTGGAGAATTCAGGACGTTTTTAAGAATGTGTTCCTCTACTCATTGCAGAAAAGCCCTACTGATTTCATGCAGCCATGCGGGTAATTTGATTGGACTGAGGTTCATCAGGGACAAAGTAGCCAATGGAGATCTGCACCACACAGAAATGTTTTTCATTGTCCCCCTAACCTTCCATTTTGCCAACCCTGATACTACTAAAGTAGAAGAAACAGCTAAAGTGGCAGGAGTGAGTACATATTACATCATTATTGTATGGGAGTGGAAAAGTATGATTTTTTAAAAAAAATCTGCAGAATGCAAATATATAGGATGCTATTTGACCATAGACTGAGAATGTTTTCCTAAATTCTAAGAACACTTTTGTTTTCTTCCCAACAGGACATAATTTCCAAAACCACTGACATCTTAGGAAAGATGACTTACCTGGCATATGCAAATATGGTGTTCAAGCAATGTTCTGCTTCTCGGACTTGTCACCCTAAATTGCTTGAGGTATGTGGTTAATTTAAAATATACATATTGAAACAAAATAATAGGACTTTCCAGAGATGCTGGAAAATATATTCAGATCAAATCAATATTTGTCCAAGATGAGCATAGGAAAACATGTTCATTAAGTTACAGCAAACAACCCTGAGCCACAGATATTACATTATTAATTTTAAATATTTCATCATGGCCCAACATCCTTTTCAGTAGTATGATAATGTGAAGAAAACCATCTGTTTCACATAAGGATTGAACTGGTTTCCAGGCAAAGATGCAACCTGGTAAAGTATCCGTGGAGTAGAGGAGCGATTGTCTAATTGAAACATATAGGACCTTGGGCTGGTTTTTCAATTAATTAAAAAAAAATTTTTTTTTGGAGTGTTTCTTTTTGTATAGTATGAGAGCAGTGATTGCTGTGAGTCCTTCCCAATGGTCCCACAATCCTAATGTTTCCATACTCAGTGCACACTAACAGAATTTTCCTTTTCTGAGACCAGCAATATTACTTGCATACCCATTCCCATGTTCTCACAGTACACCTACACTTTGGGCAGATAGCAATACAAACTATCTGGATGTAGATGTGAAAATACATGCCTGTGTGCATGTGCACGCACAGACACAGACACAAACACACACACATATATGTATTTCTTTTTTCTTTGTAGCCTCTCCACAACCTTCAAGCTGAGGCAGTTCGGGAAAAAGATGAAAACAAAATGGTATTAGCTATGAAAGCTATTGGCAATGCAGGTCAGTTAGCCAGCCTGAAACAAGTGAAACTCCTGTGTGAGTCTGCTAAATATTCTGAATACGTCCAGATCATTGCAATTCAGACCCTGGTGCAAATCGGCAAGCAGGATCTTACAAAGGTAAGTGGCAGAAAAGACCATTCTTTCTTTAGAGTAGGTAAAAACCATGTGAAATGGTCCTGATTTGCTTTCAAGTAACCGCAAAACTTTGTAGCCCAGCTGAATGTTTGAGCTTCTGTCTAGTTATCTCTGAAATCATATTGCAGAATAATATTTACAGCAATTCCCGGAACAGGCTGTGGCTTAAATGGAGTCGATACATAGAAAGAAAGAAAAAGCAGCTAGTCATTGTTTGCCAAAGAAAGCAGGCCACAAAGAAATACCCCACTGAAAGGCCCAGCCACAAGAAAATCTTAGGAGCCATATTCTGAGTTATTTGGCCATCCTATAAGTCACAGAAAGCAAATCCTTACAAAAATCATTAGAAATATTTCCACCAATTGTTTTCAGGTTTATTAGCTGAGCTCCAAATCCATTTGTTTTATAACCTTGACATTGTTTCCCTTCCTCCAGGTTCAAGGCTTTCTTCTTCAGATCTTTATGGATACTTCACGTTCTGCAGCAGTCCGAATAATGGCTAGCATTGGCCTCTTAGACAATAACCCTCCTCTACTCATAGTAACAGCCATGGCCAGTGCAATGCTGCATGAAGACAATCTTCAGGTTGTCAGTTTTGTGTACTCTCACATGACGAGCATAACAAATTCCAGGCACCCCATATACTACCGCCTGTAAGTAGAGAGACATTCAGACTATCTGTTATGCCATAGACCTGATGCTTTTCTTATAATAGCTTATTGGACAACTTAATTTTTAGCAGCAATCACAGTTTCAATTCAGCAAAGGCCAAAGATTTATTTCTGACACAGGGAAGAGTAAACATGGATAAAGGGCATTTCATCTCAGGCTTTGAATAGAACCTATCCTTTCTTTTTTATTTCTTCTAGAATGTTTAAATGTACATTATGTTTTTATTTCTTTAGGATGTTTGTTTATTGTGTTATCATATAATAAAACAGAATATACAATATACAGTATTTTTTAAAATGACAGACCAGGGGTGTCCTCAGGGAGGGGATCAAAAAAGTCAGGATGATGGATACAATCAGGCCATCGAAGTCCTAGACCGTTTTGATGTGCGTCACAATGCATGTAAAAAAGGAGCGGGGCTTCAGTGGCATGGTGGCCATTTTGACTTTTTTGGCCCCTCCCTCTGGACACTCCTTTGACAAGGACTGAGATAGGTACAGGCACTCCTTCAGATTTGAGGGTACTTTCTTGAACACTTCTACTTTCTTATGTATGGTAGTTCAGAGACAGGGCTTGATAGACTGATTTATTCCACTTACAGTTTCAGTAATGCCATGACTCCACTTTGTGTCCTGAAGAAGACAGAAGAAGAAATGTACCTGCCCACATATTTCCATCAGGTCACTCAAGGAGTAAAGGGAGTCTGCAACAACAAAAGCAATCCCAAATCTTTATTCCAGTTGATTAGAGAAAAAGCCTTGGTGGGTTGTTGTTCCCATCACTCAAGGCCTGGGAAGTTCGTTAAGATTTTAGAAGGCTGTGAGACTATTAAATTGTAATCGTACACAATTTCTCAGCGGGGTTGGGATGAGGGATGAGTTCTATAGAGTAGAACTCCTCAGTGTGTAGAGTTGTCTCTGTTTAGTAGAACCTAGTATCAACAGTGCCCTCTTTTTTCATTTAGGGCTTCTTACTGCACTATGGCCCTTACACTTCTGAACCCCAGACTTGACAAACTAACCCCCAGTTACAACAAGGCTTGGCATTTCAACCGTGAGTAGCTATTAATTATTTATTTCCCCATTCCTCTTTATGGGATGAGTCACAATATTTGGGGTAGGTTCATCTGCTCCTTTGCTCAAGTATTACATTATGTTCCAAGTGAAAAGGAATTGCCTTATTATGTTCAATTAGTTTCCTACGCAGTAGTTCTGATTTTTAAATTCTGTACTGCGTCCTATGGTCTTGCATTTTATGAACTCAGAAGGATAAAGGGGTTATTTAGGTATAAACTGATCCATTTATGTAGAATCAGTCCAAATCATTGAATTGGACTTTTACAATGATTTACATTGTAATAACTTGAAAAATTAAGGAGAACATTTCCTCAGTTTACAATGCCTGAGGTTTTTTTTTTTGAAAATGCATCTCCTCCCCGCCTTCTTAATTTTCCAGTGTACTAATCTTGTGATGTCTGGAAAATGGGTTCCATGTTTCAAGTATCTTCTTTGATTAAACCCTGGTTTATTTCATATCAAACATTCAGCATGAAGTTACAGGCTGTGTAGAAATGATATAACAGATGAGCAAAGACTTGATTCCTTTGCTCTGAGTCACTTAAAAATGGCTCTCAATTTTTCTTTTACAACCTCTTTTTACTCAGAACTACAGCTGCTAGAACTGGACTATAAAGATCAGGACTGTGGGACAGCAGTAGGAAGATATAGAAAACACTCACTCTTTCCTGCTGTATAGTAGTTGTCTGAATATTTGTAGCCCTGATCTGGTAGTCATATTCCAAACTTTACTTTGCAATGCAGTTCATATAATGAACCCCATCAAATGCTCCGTTTGTCAGTCAAGCAAACTACTGTAGATCTAAATACATGCATAGTGTGGCACACACAAAAGCTTGCATCAACACAACTTCTCAGAATCCTAGTGCTTAAGGCAGGTATGTAAGCTTAGGCTCCTCAATAGCAATTAGCATTCTTGGTTGTGCAGTTCAATTGTGACTAAGCCTACCCAGTTGACCAAGCAAGGTAAAATTTCAAAACCTTTCCCCAGCTCCTTTTGGGTCATGAAATACAGATGCAAAGATAGACTTGATAAGGGAGCAATCATGCATGAATGCATGAGCACTTTAATTGTCAGCAATATATGTATTTCTGTCAGCAAGAATATATATATCACTGAAATTAATAAAGAATATACGTTACTCACAAATCTATGAGAATGTTTTTCAAGAAAAATAGCAAAAGCATCTATTTCAGCTTCAAAAAACGAATAGTGCTATAATGTATTTTGTGTTATTGTTGTTTTTCTATTACAGCTTTTGTAAACAATGGAGTTCTCTTGAAACTTTTCATGATTGGTGACAATATATATAATCCAAATATCATCCTTAGTTCAGATGTAACCATTTTTGGTTCCACTTATAACCCAATAGAGGTATCTATTACTTTTTAAAAGTTCATTTATAAAAAGCCTTTAAGATGTTGGTGTCACTTTACCATGTTGCTTCATACATGATATATTTTAATGGATTCTTTCTTTCTTTCTTTCTTTCTTTCTTTCTTTCTTTCTTTCTTTCTTTCTTTCTTTCTTTCTTTCTTTCAGATTGCAGTGCAAGTTGAGGGTGTACATCAATTGTTTGGGGAATCACTTAGCCAGTCTGACCAATACCCTAACCATCAAAAGATCAAAGATACTGTAGCCAAGGTAGTATATTCCTTTGAGTGTAAATGTTAGAGGAAATGTTGGATAAGATTATTCCAAGGGATTTATAAGGTTGGCTGCCCTGCCAAAAGCTTGAATTTGGTAGCAAAATTCTCCCCAGATTGACACTGTAATTTAAAGTAGTGTAAATCATCCAATCATCTTATTTATGGGGTAGAGTTTAAATAAATTAAACTGGTCTTGGGGTATTGTAGAATCATTGCACACCAGATATGGAAATGGCTTTCTGTAAAATGAAAATGTTTGAAGGGGGGATGTAAGTAAGGCCAGAGCCTTACATAGTCGACTGCTGTTTATTTACTTGTCATCTTACCTGAACTGACCCAGTACTAAGTTGCTCTCATTGGTTTGACTTTCAGCTGCCAGGATTCCAAGAACTACCTGACAGAAAACTCTCCTTTAGTACCTCACTCAAAATTCTAGGAAAAGACATTTTATATTTCTACTTTCGAGAAATAAAGCCAGCTCAGGAGGTAAAGATGTCTGATATGTTTTCACCATCTAATCCGTAGTGTTATCTCAGTCAGCTTAAAGCCTGTTGTCTCTTGGCCCTATTTTAGGTGCAGAGGTTTGCAACAGCTGTGATCACAGCAATGACGAAATTGCTAGAATCCTTAATCACTGAGCTGGACAATTACTTTATTGTAGATGTTGGGCAAATTCATCCTACAGCTGTTGGTTTGCCATTTGAAGTAAATGCTAATGCTTTCTTGGGAGTACATGGCTCATGGAAGGGTAAGGATGGGAATCACTGCAATTCATAATAGGGTGGGTAAATAATATATGGTGGGGGAAATGGCAGAAAGTAACACACCTGAAAACTATCAGCAATGCAGGTCAGCCAACCAGTCTGAAGCAAGTGAGACTTCTGTATGATTCCGATAAACACATGTAATTCATAACCTGATAAAATCATATTGCTTAATATGTAGCTAGATTATTTTTTTAAGACAGGAACAATTCAGATTTCTTCCTCTATGACACAAAATGTATTAGTCCACTACCTTACATGTTTCCAAAGTAAGGTTTTATCATGTAGTCTCTCCATATTCTTGCTTTCTTGTTCACAAAATTTTACAGAAGTATAGGCAATGTCGTCTTCCACCTGTATGTTTTCCCACTTCTTTTTTTGACTTTTCCCTCCCACATAGTCAATTATATTAAAGAGGGAAAAAATAGAAACATTTTTTTAAAAAAAATTGTTAGTACTAAGAGGTCTCTGATCTTTTTGTTAGATATTAGGCCTACTTTTGAATCATTTTAAAATAATGTTTGTTTCTTGTAGCAAAATTAGAACTATCTCAAGAAGATCTCAGTGCAGCCAAATTGCAAGCACTGCTTGACAGCAACATTGAGTAAGCAAAATAATATTTCCTTCCTTCCTTTTTTTTTAGATTTTTTTATCCCATCTTTATTATTTTTTATATATAACTTTATTATTTTTTATAAATAACCTTCCTCCTCCTATTTTCCCCACAACAACAATCCTGTGAGGTGATTTGGGCTGAGAGAGAGTATATATACTGAAAATACCATTTAAAGATTTTATACTGATAGCTAACTAGCTCAGCCCATTTTCCTCCCTGCCTCCCTCCCTCCCTGTTATGTAATTGATACAGTGAATAGCTTCATTGTGAAAACAAAATTTTGAATTGGAAAAAACAATTGTTATCAAAGTGTCTCAAACAGTTTTATGTCTGCAGCAGAATGATCTCCCCCCCGCCATCACTCACATATAGACAAACCACAGTCAATGTACAATAGTCATGGTTGGCCAATCTACTTTGGCATCTGGAACTGAAAATCTCACAAAAGCTTTAAATAACTAAACCTGTGCCACCCTTTCCTGATACTAAAACCCACTTGTTCTGAGGAGATGTCCTCACTCTGCTTGACATTAGAATTTCCTCTGTTATGATAATCTGAAACCATAGCCTACTATCTGTCTTCTTCTTTTAGCACCCATGGTCAGGGAATGTTATCCTGGGGAATTCACACAGACTTTATGGAGAGTAAGGTGGAAATTAATGGCAGGATCCGTTCAGAAGGTGAATTCAGACTGAATGTTTCGCTGGACATGCCACAAAAAAGATTAAAAGCAGAAGTTGGTGGTCTTCGTGAGAAGTTTGAGGCAATAACCGCAAGGTAAGAGAGGCTATTTTACAATCTTTTTTGTCATGCTACCTGTTGCGTTATGTCAGGTTTCTTTCTTATGTATAAACATTATGCATATAACTCAGTCATAGCTTACGTATTGGCAAGAATTATGGCTAGCTACCTACTCTTTCACTGAGTTCTTCAAACCTTTTACTTTGTACCAACATTCTTTCTGGTGGGTTCTGGTGTGATATTATGAACATATGAAGTTTCCTGGCTTTGACTCAGGCCATTAACCATCTGGCCTAGTACCATGAAACGTACTACTGCGCTTTTCCTCCTTCCTTCCCTCTATTCCTGGGCCCATCTTTCATTTTCTTCATTCTCAGGACGCTTTAACATTTAGTTGTGTTCATGTTCACTTCCAGTTACAGTATATTAACTTAATGTGGCGTATAATAGAATGGTTTCTACTTCTTTTCACTGCATCTCTACCTAGACATGAGGCACATGTTGTAGTAAGGTACCCACGTTTTGAGAAAAAGGCTCCAATTCTTCCAGAGGGATTTGATGTCGACGACTTGGATGAAGGGTTTGACACAGAGAAAGGCAACATCAAAGTAAATATTGCTTTTGTCTATGTGTGGTCAAGACTGATATTTGTTGGTCTACTGTGCAATTAATCTGACTGATATATCTTATTAAAGAAATGGCTACTTTTATTTTTATAGTATTATTTAGAAATCTTAATATATTTTTGTTTATATCTAGGATTTTAGCTTCTACTTGTTCAAATACATGCTTTATTACCTGTGAATGAGGACATTTGCCAAACTTCCGACATTTTCATATTCATACACACACACACACACACACACACACACAAAATAGTGTGCATGCAAAACTATAAACTTTGAAAAAGAAACCAATTAAAATATGCTAAATTCATCCTTTATACATCTGGTTGCTTATAGAAGTAGTATTGGCATTTTTTTCTATCCCAAACTTCTGTTAGCTTGATAGCAACAGTGGTACAGAGCTCCCATTCTTTGGTTTCTCTCATGCTACCCATAATACCTATCAATTTTCTACAACTGCCTGTGAGACTTAGGATTTCCTTTATCACACAAATTTCATTCCATTTGTTGCACATATGTGTACTATTAGGTTATTATTGCTGAATTCTGACATGTCTATCTTCACTTCAGCAACAAGCTAAAGGTGGCCACAGACCTCAGGAGCCTTTGGACAGATGTTTGCCTTTAGGTTTGGTCCCAATAGATCTGTGCTCGCAAACCACCAAGAAAACAGGATATCTTTCTACTGAGAATACAATACTGCATGTGTTATGCTCAGAACATGAAATGAAGTTTTCGGTCAAACCAGGTATTATTGTGTAGTGAAATGTTCAGCTTGTATACTGAGAAGTGCTCATGGTGATCACTTTCTAAAAGATATGCCTGCATTATAATCCTTGAAGGTGTTCCTATGGAGAAGATCCAGCTAGATGTCCAACTAGGCCCTGGAAAAATTAGGATGAGAAGAGAAGCGGTACTAGAAGAAGAAGAAGAAGAAGTGGAAGAAGAAGAAGAAGTGACAGTAAAAGAAAAGGTGGTATGTATATTACATGGAGGACAGTCACATTTTATAAAGTCTAAGTTAGCTAGGTACAAAACAAGAGATGCCATATGCCAGAGGTCAGTTTTCTTATGGGGTAAGTGGATATTCTTATTTTGTCCAACTCCACCTTCTCTGTATTAATGGCATAGCAATTACATGGCAAAATGTTACAAAGCAGAAACATTGTTTAATGAGATAAACTGTCTGTTTAAGAACAGCTTAAGAGAAGTGGTGTTTTGGCTCTCAACTGTGCTGCAGGCTGATACCAAATATCAGAAGAAGCCATTCCAGGATACCAAACGCCCAGATCGGGAGACCAGCTCTTCCTCTGAGTCTTCCACTGCTGCTCCTCCGGTGAAAAAGGGACAAGACCAAAAGAAAGGTGATACCACCAGCAGCAGCAGCAGCAGCAGCTCCACTACCGGCAAGGACAGCAACAGTGAGGATAGCAGCCAAAGCAGAAGCAGCAGCAATGAGAGCAGCAGTGAGAGTAGCAGCAGCAGGAGCAGCAGGGGCAAAGGGTCACTTCATTGTGGAACAAAGGACTCTTCCCAGCGCCAGTCCAGAGATTGTTCTTCCAGCAGCAGTGACAGCAGTGATAGCAGCAGCAGCAGCAGCAGCAAGAGCATCAGCGAGAGCATCAGCGAGAACAGCAGCAGAGAGAGCAGCAGCAGAGAAAGAAGCAGCAGAGAGAGCAGCAGCAGCAGCAGTGACAGCAGCAGCGACCGCAGCAGCAGCGACCGCAGCAGCAGCAGCAGCAGTGACAGCAGCAGCAGCAGCAGCAGTGATAGCAGCAGCAGCAGCAGTGATAGCAGCAGCAGCAGCAGTGATAGCAGCAGCAGCAGCAGTGATAGCAGCAGCAGCAGCAGTGATAGCAGCAGCAGCAGCAGTGATAGCAGCAGCAGCAGCAGTGATAGCAGCAGCAGCAGCAGTGATAGCAGCAGCAGCAGCAGTGATAGCAGCAGCAGCAGCAGTGATAGCAGCAGCAGCAGCAGTGATAGCAGCAGCAGCAGCAGTGATAGCAGCAGCAGCAGCAGTGATAGCAGCAGCAGCAGCAGTGATAGCAGCAGCAGCAGCAGTGATAGCAGCAGCAGCAGCAGTGATAGCAGCAGCAGCAGCAGTGATAGCAGCAGCAGCAGCAGTGATAGCAGCAGCAGCAGCAGTGATAGCAGCAGCAGCAGCAGTGATAGCAGCAGCAGCAGTAGTGACAGCAGCAGCAGCAGCGACAGCAGCAGCAGCAGCGACAGCAGCAGCAGCAGTGATAGCAGCAGCAGCAGCAGTGATAGCAGCAGTGATAGCAGCAGCAGCAGCAGTGATAGCAGCAGCAGCGACAGCAGCAGTGATAGCAGCAGCAGCAGCGACAGCAGCAGCAGCAGCAGCAGCGACAGCAGCAGCAGCAGCAGCGACAGCAGCAGCAGCAGCAGCAGCGAGAGCAGCAGCAGCAGCAGCGAGAGCAGATGCAGCGAGAGCAGTGAAAGTGATGAAGTTTCCAAGAAGGTAATTAGGATGTCACTGCTTTGAGTAGAGCCAGTGGGGGCAAGGAGGCAGAACGAGTTTCATTCAAGCGGCGTGTCCTTTCCAGCTAAGGTGGAGCCCATTACAAGTCAGCTAACAGCTATGAGAGTCCATCTGCTGACCTGATGAGGGAACTCCCCAGCCACTTTGCTTGCTAGTTCCGGGTGTTTGAGCCTTGGAGTTTGAAAGCTCTCATAAGCTAAACATTAGCTTATACATGCCTAGGATGGAACTCACCCACAGATATTGCAGCACAGCATTACAAGGCATGGCATTTCAGAAAAAATCTTGGTATGAAATAGGAAGGTTGACCTCCATCATAGTACCTGGCAATTATGAAACTTCTGGTTGCCTGTTGGGCTGTTAGTGGAGCATTGGAGTAGGCAGTTTTACCAAACAGCACGCCTGCATCTGATTGCACTAAATTCCACAAAAGCAGAATGATGGGGAACAACTATGCACACTTAATAGGTACCAAGTTGCATGGGAGTGACAGTGATGATGTGGTTGTGGTTTCCATTCATCTCTCATCATGCTGATCTGTGATCTGCTTTCTGGAGTATGAGAAATCAGCACTGAGTATTTAGTAGCGTTGTGACCTTCATTGTTGGGTGTGCCCATGACACAATTTCATAGTAAGAGATAATAGTGCTAGAAATCAGTAATTTGGGAAAGCTTATAGTGATGGTTATACCACTGAATATTCATTTAAAAATAGCAGTCCTATCCAATATTTGAAACTTCAGAAGCACCCCAAACTATTATTTTAGCCCTAAATAAGCAGCATTAATGCAGCTAGCCACTTTTCTTTAATCAATCATTCAACCAAGTAGACATGGATTTTGACCTTCGGAGAAGATTTTCAGGAATGTGACTTTCAGAAACAGCATTTCCATTCATAGTATTTTAAAATTAACAGTTTATGTACCACAGTATGAAAATTTCTCTGAGTGCTCTTCTTTCTTTTTTATTTCTTTTCTAAGGGAGCTCCAAAAGAGATTCATACATATTCTTTCCGATCTGTGAAGAAGGTAAGATTTGGAAGCATAGAAAGTTTAAACATAACCAGAAACTACCGATGGAATGTTAGTAGCAGTGCGGTATTTTGGAGAAAAATGTAATGTACTGAGATAGAGTCATCTGATTCTTGAAATGTTTCCGTTTTTTTCCATTATCCACACGATATCTTTTACTATTTATTATTGAAAAAATAGATAATTTCATCATAAATATTTCATCATAAATAAATATTCTGCCCCATTGGTTTAAAGCAGTGTTTCTCAACCTTGGCCACTTTAAGGTTGGCTGGGGAATTCTGGGAGTTGAAGTCCACACACCTTAAAGTGGCCAAGGTTGAGAAACACTGATGTAAAGTATTGACTTATTATGATTTTCCTTTTTCAAAAAAAGAAAAAAAGCAAACCCTATATAAATAAAACCAGCTATCAGCACACCACCTTTTCAGTGGTGAAGTAATTGTAAGTTTCTTTTCTAATCTGAGGCAGAAGAATGGTTTGCAGCCTGGTACCTTTTGGAGATATTGAAACTACAAATTCCAGAATTCCCTGCCAGCATGGCAAACTAGCTACTCCTTCACAAATTTGTATTCTGCATCTTTGGATGGCACTAGGTTAGGGAAGGTTGTACTAATTGAGAGACTTTCTTCAATTGCTCTAGGAAAACTGCCCAGTTCATGGCTACACAGGCAGCCTTTGGCATTGCTTAATCTGACATTTGATTTTTAACATTTTTGATTCTTGCAGCCAGGAAAAGAGCAATCTGATTTCCCTTATGATTCAGACTCTAAGCGGGAACACAAAAAGAAAGGTTCCTTGGACTCCAGCAGCGAAGAAGACATAAAAGACTCTTCCGTCAGTATCAATATACCTTTCTATGGGCAAACACCAATTCTGAAGGAAATTTACCTATCTGGCTTAAGTATAACAAACAGGAAAAGGCAGTAATGAGATTTAAGTAGTTTATGTCTTATTTTTGCCATTGTGTATTTATATATTATTTTAGATTTAGTATGCTACTTGTTTTTAATCCAACTGAATTATCATGTACTCCGTGAAAATAGCTAAGATCCTAATATTATGCAAAAATGATCATACACACAGGCAATTATTATCTTCAATAAAAAAGCAAGTAGCATAGGATCAACTTTAAAGAGAGACCCTCCAAAGCCTAACAAACAAATCTCATTATTCTTTGAAAGCAAGTGTGGTAACCTAGAGTCCTGCAATTGTTTTTGGACTACAGCTGCTGTCAAACATGATCATTGGTCAGGCTGATCTGGTCTGACAGGCTCTGGAGTTCAAGTACATCTGGCTATAATTAAATAGATCAATACCTGAGAAACTTTCAGGTGTGCTACTTAGGTATCAGAAGTCACCCAAAAGCTAGAATGGCCTATGTAAGTCAAGCATTAACTGATGACCCTCTTTAATAATATGTTTGGGAGTTACTGGTAATTATTTTATTCATTTTAAAACAATATACTTGCATAGCTTCTAATCCCAGATGAGCAATTAAATAAATTTCTTCCTTTGCATTTTTGGGTTTTTTGCTCTAAAGTTGGAACAAGTTCTGTCTGCTCGTCTCCGCATCATCCGTTATGATAAGAAGCAAGATGGACTCGATGCTGTAGTGTATGCGGGTTTCTCTGCAGTAAAAATGACAGTGAAAAACATCACCCGGCCAAGCAAGCCAGTGATGTGCTTTGAATATGTGGCGACCGACCCTCATAAAATAAAGGTGAGCCTTTTCAAAACTTACTGGTTCCAAACAAGCAATCCAAATATTGGTGATGCATTTTAACAAAATTACATCTGATATATTTCTTTCCTCCTTAGTCATCCCTGAGAGCTGGTTGGGATTGCAAAGACTATAGTGTCTCAGCAGAATTAGAGACTGGTTGGTTTGCTGAAAAGCCAGCTCTTCGGTGGAGGATTAGGTATCCTAATGCTCCTGAAATAGTGGCTTATGCTCTAGAAAAGTAAGTAAATGTTTCTGTTTATCTAATCCAGTGTTTCTCAACCTTAGCAACTTTACGATGGAAGGACTTCAACTCCCAGAATTCCCCAGCCAGCATGCTGGCTGGGG